ACAATTATTACTAAAGTTCAAGATTAAAAACCCCATAGTCTTAAGTAGTTCAAAACACATAGTATTTTTCAAAAAGAAGTGGGGCGGTCGGGTAGCCTAATGGTTGAAGCGTTCGCTCGTCACGCCGAAGACCGACATGGGTACAATAAGTGAAGCCCATTTCTGGTGTCCCCCGCTGTGAATATTGCTAAAAGCGGCGTAAAACCATACTCACTCATTCACTCAAAAAGAAGTTGACAGAAAACTCTCCAAACTTAGTCCAAAGACAGATGTTTTAATTTCTACCATAATTGTATGGTCGCTGCTGCCAAGCACGTCTAGTTCAGTGTAGACAGCATCTAAGATTCAGAAGACAAGTCTGGGACAGTATACTGTTCATAGACGATTCCATGTTTCATCTGGACAGCTCTGGTGGTCGTGCGAGGGTCTACAGGGGTTAAGGAGAACGTTTACGTTGTGCAACGTTGTCAGTTTGGGGGTGAAAGTGTAATGGGCGTGGCATCATGGAGAACACAACTCATGAGTATTAATGACAATTTGAATATCGTACGCTACCGGGACGACTTCGTTCGAGATGTTCTACCGTTTGTGCACCTCCAAGGACGTAACGTCACGTTGCAGCAGGGTGATGTCCGCCCACACGTTGCACGTGTTGTGAGAGGCCTTTTGAGGCAGCATATAAGATACCAACGAGGAAAATCACAAAGAACAAAGAAGAACGAAGTGTTGATTAATTGATTGATTGATCATTTAAAGTTTTATAGGTGCTCGGGCAACTAGGCCCATTTACACCTTGCCCATAATAAAGCCCAAAGGTTTGCTAAGTTCCTAGATATTTTATAAAGTAGTAAAACTACCACACGCTTTAATATAAGCAAGAGTGCCATTCTGAGCGCCATGGCGAACGAAGTTCCGAGAACATAAAAGTCCAGCCAGTGTGAGGTCAATATCGAGATCTGTCAGAGACTCCATCATTGCCTTACGCTGATTGACCTACTTATGACAATGCAGTAAATAATGAGCCACATTACCAAGCTGATTACACACAGTACACTGTGCAGAAATGCCTTTATTAACAACATTGAGATATCCACCAGACCACAATGCCAAAGACGAAGTCTGGTTAAGAGAACCTCCTCTCTTCGGTTGTTTCTAGATGTTAAGTAATAAAAGGATCGATTCCATACTATTAGAGATGACGCCCTTTTAAGGATGTGCCCATCTCTGCTGCCATTTTGTTTTAGCATGGATCATACTGACGGTGCCCAATTCTTCAGAAGGTAAAATTGTCTCATCCTGTTCTGATTCATCAAATTCTAATGCAGCTCTTGCCAATTAATCAGCTTCCTCATGTCCAAGTAATCCAACATAAGCAGGGATCCATGAACATTCAACATCTAAAGGATCTCTACTTAATGCATTACAAAGGTCGAGAATAATGTTGATCAAGTCCTGCGTCGCTGAGGAAGAACCTACCTGAATTGCTTGTACTGACAGAGTCACGGGAAATTACCGCTGATACAGGCCTTAAAAATGAATCCAACGCAATGCTTCAGTGATTGCTCCACGTGCAGCAGAAAATGTTACAGACAGGTGATCAGCCAATCAGATAGAAAGTTCTCTCTCATTATTAACAATAAAGATGCCAGCACCAACACGATCGGACACTGGGCACTTAGATCCATCAGTGTACAGTAGTTACTAAGGCGACTAACGGGAGTGGGTGGTCAGGTGAATAAAAGTTTTCAAAGCCAACTTTGTCAAATTACTGCTACAGTCTTACAAGAATCTAGCACTGAATGAATGACCCAGCCGATTCATGCACTTACCATAACGTCTGAAGTTAGAGTGACCCTCGTGAAGATCCGGGTTAGGGTTGGTCCCTAGCAACCCATACTTGCAGGTAGAGGTGACTAACGGGATCGGGTGGTCAGGCTCATTGACTTGGTTGATGCATGTCATCGTATCCCAACTGCATAGATCGATGCTCCTGATGCCAATCACTGGATTATCTGGTTCAGACTCGATTATTTTCAGACCGCCGTAATATAGCTGGAATATTGCTGAGTGCGGCGTTAAACAACAAACAAACAAACAAATCGATGTCTCGCCAGGCCACACTTTGTTGGCTCCCTAGATTATTTGAAGATAACGTTTTGTGTGTGGGATTTTATGTACACTTCGGGCAGTCTTGTTCTTCCTCACCATAACTTAACAACTTACATTTGTCCAGTTTTGTCTATATGTAGCATCAAAAGGCTTCTAATAACCTTGTCCATCCTAAAGGGACCTGACGCCTGAAAGTTTATATGTGGCAGCACGCTTAAGGTTTTTTTCCAAATATAAAAGCGAAATTTCTTTAATGTTCGAAAAAAGTTTGATTTTTTTTTTCGACTGAAACAAAAATCACGTTTTATTGTAATAAGTGTATCTTTACATACAGTTGAAAGAACACTGTGGAACAGTTAAAAATGCTAAAATCGCTTGTTAATGAAACGTCAGCTTTGCATGTTATGTTAGTGAGTGATTGAGTTGGGTTTAACGCCGCTTTTAACAGTATTCCCGTTATTTCGCGGCGTGTCAGCTAAATGTGGGAGGAAAGCCCGAAGTGATGCAGGTCTCAGACGTTTACCACTTCGGTGAAACCCACGAGCACGGGTATGGTGCTGACAAACCTAGAAACATAATCGGGGCGAACCGGGATTCGAACCCACTATCATAGGTTTCTGGTGTGCCCAAGGGACGCAACAATGTACAGCGCCTTTGACGACTGGGCCACCCGTGCCCCCGCATGTTATATGAATATGTCATCGTATACTGAGTATCCTACCAGCGCACACCATGTGCAATGAAATATAACAAAAACAAAACGAAATTCTTTCAAACCAGTTCCCATACTTTTACAGGTATAGTTATTCACAATATTTCTACTTGATGATCCACCATGATCCGTAGCGGTCAAGTGGTCCAGTGACTGAAGCGTTCGCTCGTCACGCCGAAGACCCGTTCATTCCCTACATACCTGATGAAGGCACCCACTACAAAATGCAATAGAAATTATTTTTACTGATTTACTATTTTGAACCTATCGCTTTATAATATCTAAAGAACTTTTTTACCAAAATAGGAATGGTGGAACACGAACCCAAAACGCCTGGGGAGTTATGTGAGATAATGATTTTATTTCTTTTTTGTGTCTAGTTGTGTCATGTTGCACATCAAATGAAAGTTCTTATCATCTGCGTTTCAGAAATGTGTAACGTGCCAATGTCAGATATATAATATACATACATGTGTGAAGCATCTCTGACATCCCCCCTCCCTGATATTGCTGGAATATTGGTACAAGCTGCGTAACCATAATCCCTCACCAATGTCTCAGACCACAAAGCGATCTTGGGACTCTCGACTTTAGTAAAGTTTAGTTGTAGCCGGTTCCTGAAATGGTACTAAGATAATGGCATTTAGTTGTAACCGGTTCCTGGAATGGTGCATATTCTTTCCAGAAATGTGTCCGATCCGATTACTGCATATTGTCAGAACAAACAATACCCATGCGCATCAGGAGATAACATCATGCCATCATTATTTGGATTTGAAATCTCTGGACATCCACAAAGCGTATTTTGATCAGCACTGAATGGAATTGTTGTTTGGGGGTTTTGTTAAACGTGCTCAAAGAATTATCAATAAAGATATATTTCAAAAATGAAAAAGAATATTTCTCCTTTCTAGCACGTTTAGTGACATACAGACAAAAATGCGTGTCTAGAGTATTGTTCGAAACTGAAAGTATTGTTTTGGTCAGTCTGGAACTCAAGAGAAGTGCGAACATTTTAGATAAATGTTCTCGAAATAGAAAAATCTATTTTATAGAACATGTAGGAGCTTTTCCAACAGCTTATATGTACGTGTGCTTTGATAATATATGTATGCATGTTCTTGTCATGAATACAGTGAAGACTGCATATCTAAAAATACAAGCATTTAAATTTTCGCCTAAACTCTTAAGATGAATTTTTGGAGTTGGAACAACCTGGTTTTCAGGACACAAACAAGAATCCCGGAGCAAACTTTCCACTGAACCTATTGTTAGTTGTTTATCGCCGCACTCAGCAATATTCCACCTATATGACGCCAGACTGTAAATAATAGAGTCAGGACAGGATAATCCAGTGATTGGCACCATGAGCATCGATCTATGCAGTTGGGATACGATGACATGCATCAACCAAGCCAGTGAGCCTGACCACCCGATCCCGTTAGTCACCTCTACCTGCAAGTATGGGTTGCTAGGGACCAACCCTAACCCTGATCTTCACGAGGGTCACTCTAACTCCAGACGTTATGGTAAGTGCATGGATCTGCTGGGGCATTCATTAAGGGCTAGATTCATGTAAGACTGTAGCAGTAATTCAATTGATTTATTTGACAAAGTTGGCTTTGAAAACCTTATTTCACTTAGGTCAAACTTACTAGGACTGCGAATTGGCCCGATTTGATGCTAGTTCCTCCTTTAAATGAAACCATTTGTTAACAATTAATGAATGTGAAAGTCTGGATAACATACTTGTATGGTATTTATAGTCTACTTGTTTGTGAGATAATCGAACGAGTTGAAGACATAGAGGGAGAACAAGCTTGCTGTAAGATAGCAATGTGGGTTTATCGAAAAGACGAAAACGGTTGAAATCAATTGAATATCCTAATCAGTGAAGTATTATCAAATAGAAGTGAGCTTCTGTATCTTACATTTTCAATTCTGGTTTCGTTTATGGAAGGGTCAGCGTTTGCGCACACTTACTGACACTAATCATACAATCTTACTTTCATTGCTGTATATTCTATAACATTCGTTATTTTAATATCATATTTACTTCAGTTCATTGCCTATTTCAATAGGTTTTGTCAGACGGAAGATCTCCATTCTTCCGTTGCGAAAAAAATGTGCCCCAACCGGCATTGTCGCGCACGCGCACCTGCGGCATCCGGGCCGAGTCGGTCATCGATCAACATGGCGGAGAAGATAACGGACCGAGAACTCGTGGAGGAACTGAAGCGGTTTGGAGAAACAGTGAGTCTGCCATTTAAGCTGGGCAAGCGGCAGATATACATTAAAAAGCTGAATCATCACAAATCTAAGGCAAATAGTGGAGATCAGACAACCAGGAAGTCCTCAAAGCGTGCACACCTCGATGTTTTGAGCTCCGATGATAGCGACTTCGAAAGCGCGGGTCAGACTGACCGACAGAGATCCAAGATCGTTAGTGGAGTATCCAAGTCACTTAGACGCAGATCTACGGCAAACACACCCATCACACCCCCAAAACCTAAACCATCTAGCAACAGAGTGTCGTTAGGACGGCCAAGTTTGCGGTCCAGGAAATCCGAACAACAAACAGACGACTCGCCTCGTATCACGAAATTAGAAGCACGTCAATCTACATCACGATTGTATCCCGATTTGAGTGACCTGAACGCATCTGGCAGCCTTGGAAACAGATCCAGAATAAACGAGACATTTGAGTCGTCTGACTCCGATCTGGAAGAAAGTACATACGAGGTTGAGAACAAGTCTGTGAACACGACATTTACCATTGAAAGCAACAACAGTTTAAATGATGGCAGGTCGCCGAATAGGTCGCATCAGACAAAGTCCAACACAACTTACTCAAATCATGTCACCCCAGTCACACATGCTAACTCCAAACGTCACACAACAAATCATACATCATCCAAGCATGTGAATGACTCGAAGAAAAATTACAAACTCTACCCTGAGCATGTGTCTGGAGGTTTGCTAGTTATTGTTGGAGGGTTCTTCCTGGTCCTGGCTGTCAGTTACCTCTTTGTAAGGAAAGATGTCATCTTAGCATGGTACAGCGGGATCGGAGATGTGAAAGCAGGTACATATGTTTCAGTGTCTTTAAATGTGAACCTGCTTAATAATATGCATTGTTAGTTTCCCTTGGATATTTCAGAACGTCAACTGTTGAAAATTGAATTACAGATCCTTGGGTGTTATTGCTCTCATGTTTTTGGTTGTCATGCATTCCACAAAGAGGTGCCCTCTGGTGATTCCGTGTTTGAATCAGTCCCCAGCAACCTATGTTGGCTGTAAGTGGTGACCAAGTGGATCGGGTGGTCACACTCAGTGACATGGTTGATTGGGTGTCATTGTACCCCGAAGGCATTGATTGTTGCTCACAATATCAATCACTTGATTGTCTGGTCAAGACTCAAATGTTTATAGACCACTGCCGTATAGCTGGAATACTGCTGAGAGTGGAAGTGGTGCTTTTTGGAAGAACTTCCATATCTAAAACACAGATGAAAAATATGAGATTAGTTTTCATTTGCTACATCAATGTAAAAAAACAATGGCTGTGCTTATGCTGCTGTATAATTTGTACAGCCCCTTCTGTATTCTGCAATACTGTGGTCGCATAATATTTTGCAGAAATTCCCATGCACTCTGTGCAGAAATGTACCTATTTTGCAAAATGTTGCAGAAAATCACATTGTGTGTTATTTCATCATGTTCATAGCATAAGTGCATGTCTGTGTCACTTAAATAAGCTATTCTGGATGTGGATAAGTTTATCATTAAAATGCCTGTCACAAATCAACAGTCTGATGAAGTTCACGAAAAGTGAGCTTAAAAGTTTGCAGGATTGTGTGCAGAATTATCAAAATTTGGTTACAGAATTTTATACAATTTATGATAGAATTTATATCTTTTTGTCTGCAGTGGGCACTGATTGTAGTATTTGTTAGCTGTTTCTTTATCCTAATATATACCATTATTCGACAAGTAAGTTAAATCACAGATGCAGTTAAAATATCTAAAAGTTTGAGAGAAAGTTACTAATAAAGAAATTATTAAGATTGTTAATTTAATGTATGTTCTGTGTTTGTTTCAGCTCCAAAGAGTACTTATCTTCTTTGTCTGGACACAACTGAGGTGATTTTCATCGATAGCTCTGACATACTGTTGTTATTATTTTTAATCCCTTGCTGAAAAAAAGATTGCAGATAGTTTGTATGTGACCATGGTGACAAACACTAGCCATGCTAGCCCGAACTGTTGAATTCTGCAAACATGGCAAGAATAGCCAAGTCAAGTGAGCATCCACATGGAGTTGTTTCCCTTAGCTGCCTGGAATCCCAATCATTGGTTTGAATATCCAGAGCCACAGATAAGCTGGTTATTTACGTAAAATACCTCCCAAAACTATTCAAAACCAAATTACTTTCAATTAACTTGCGTACAGAAACACATGCATTAAATTGAAAACTCAATTGTTTGAAAACAGCACACGTAAACACCCAGTGTTCCCGTTTACTGGTAATTGCCAGTTTTTTTACTGGTAAAATTAGGCTTGGACCGGTAATTCATGTGACTGCCAGTCCCTGTGGACCGGCAAATAAAGTACCTTATAAATCTGTGTTGTTGAACAAAACATTGGTGATATTCATATAAGTATATTTTTCGAACAAAGTCAGCTTGTATGTTACCATCAGGGTTTCCTCTTGTCTATTTCTAGGTTAAATATCCATTTGTAGTGACTTGGTTTCAAAATATTAAAGAGGGAGAGAGAGAGAGTTGTGACTGAAGTTTGTGTAAATGACGTAAAGATCTAACTAAGTTACTTCAGAGATGAAATCTTTGCACTGAACATTATGTTGAAAGAATTAAAACCAAATAATTTTCATACATTTTTATATTTGTTGAAAGTTGGGACTGGCAAAAGTTAGGGGGGGTACTGGTAATTGTTAGAGTTGCCAGTCCACAAGGACTGGCAGTTTCAAAAGCCAGCGGGAACTCTGAACACCCATTGAAGCTTTTTCAGCACGCATACAACGGAGCTAATTTCTGAAACACAATTACGAGCTAATTTACTTTCCGGGTCAAGCATATATTTAGAACCGTTGTATTACATCTAAAACATCATTTTACTTTTATTTTTTTTACTCATTTCGTGAAAAAAACAATAGAGTGATGAATTGATGAGTGAAAAAATATTGGTTACCCAATGAAAAATGTAATAACCTAATTATAATAGAAACCTTTGAGTAAAATCTCAATTGCTCAAAAGTTATCTGGAGCTCTGAATATCAGATCGTATTCCAGTTATAATCCTTTGTCCATGTCAGTGCTCATGTGTCTCACAAAGTTGGGTGTCTAGGAGTGTACGACGTGTCTTTCTCGGCTTGCCGCCAACATAGATGCCAAGTGCAAGCTATATCTTTCTCACCTGTGGGAAGTCGTGGTTAGAATATGATCCCAGCAACTGATTCTCGTCATAAGTGGCGACTAGATGCTTCTGGTGTCAACTCGGTGACTTTGTTGTTAGCGTCCTAGCATACCCCAACAGCATGGGATGTTGCTCATGTCACTGGCGACTGCTGCGTTAGTCTAGTGGATAGAGCGTCTGCCCGGAGAGTGGTAGGTCAGTGGTTCGATCCCGGGCCATGTAATACAGTAAGACTTGTTGGTACCCTACCATTCCTTTGAAGTTAAGGGAATAAAAAAAGGACTTGTCGGCTCGAAGACAGTATACTGTGTCTGACTGGGATATCTTTGTTACACTCCCGCAAGTCTTCATCAGTCTTTCCTAAATTCTGCTGCCAAAAACCTATTCTGCTGAAACTTTTCACGAATTTCGCACAGTTCTGCTATCTTTTAATTTATTTTTTGTGAATTAAGGCCTTTTTTGGACACATTTATATATGATTTGTGAACTGACAGTCACAAAATGAAATCATAAGAAATCCATCCTGTAATCACAATGCAAAAGTTGGATTCCCTTCGAAACAAAACGGAAATTGTTTTTGACACTTTCATATGTTACATATTCAAAAGGATACAATGTAGAAGTCACAGCAGAAACCAATGACTGTTGATTGGAATCCAAGTTCAGCCAGATTATGTTTCTAGGTTTGTCAGTACCATACCCGTGCTTGTGGCATTCACGAAAGTGGTAAAAATCTGAGACCTGCATCATTTCGGGCTTTCCTCCCACATTAAGCTGACACGCCGTGACATAACTGGAATACTATCAAAGCGGCATTAAACCCAACTCACTCTCTCACTTAAAGAAGGTTATAGTAGTTGTATCTATTGAATGTGTTGGCCATGTACATGATATATGCTGTAGTTGATTTTTGGGGTTGGTTTGGTTTGTTGTTTTACGCCGCACTCAGCAATATTTCAGCTATATGACGGCGGTCTGTAAAATAATTGAGTCTGGACCAGACAATCCAGTGATTTACATCATGAACATCGATCCACCCAATTGGGATCGATGACATGCATCAACCAAGTCAGCGAGCCTGACCACCCGATCCCGTTTGTCGCCTTTTACGACAAGCATAGTCGCCTTGTACGGCAAGCATGGGTTGCTGAAGACCTATTTTATCCCGGAATCTTCACGGGTCTGCTGTAGTTGATGGTGACCCTGACCATTCAACATGATTCAGGTGTGATACTCCAGACTTTCATATGTAACACTGTTGCCTTGTATTGATAAGAATATCCTGTATCTTACAGGGCTCAATTTAAGGTACTTGATTTAACTTGCACCAGGTGCATGTTGACATGAAAACCTTGTTGCACCAGACGAAACAAGTTTGCACCCTGAACCGATATATGTATCAAACATAGATGCATAAACTAGACTAGTTGGAAAATATAATACCAAATCTCTGATGACTGTCCTGAGTTTACTCAAAGTAAACAAACAGTTTGATGATGTCAAGGCCAAGAAATCCTAACAAATTTCACATAACACAGGGATTAGTGATGTAATATGATAGATAAAACTCACAGGTATTGAGTGTGTTCAACATATTCAAAGGTCAATGTTGGGAGGAAAATTAAGGATTACAGCGTTAGAAACTGGCACTAGTCCTGTAGTCCTTGCCAAACTGCCTAATAGATAAGATATCATAAGGATAAGTAGAAATTTGCCATTATTAAGGGTTTGCTATATGTTGTCATTATAAGGACTAGTGGACTAAAACTGTTAGTTTCTACCGCTGGATTAGTCACAAGCTTGAGTTTTTCTTTGTCATGCACTTGGTGCATGTAGTCATTAATATTAGATTGCACTTTTCAATGATAGGTTGCACTGGTGTGTGTTTTGTATAACTAAATCGAGGCCTGTATCTGCATAATCACTTAAGATAAGAATTGGCGTTCTATTTTGCAGGGTTGTTATGGAGAGCCGGTTGTGGAGAAGACGATGATTGTCATTCGGGATTTGTATGACGTGTTAAGCAGTAAGAAAGGTGAAAATATTTGCTTCACATTTGTCATGGTTTTTTTTGTTTAAGACCATGCTTTTGAATTGGATCTGATCTTCATTAAGTATGTGTGAGACTGAGAGTAGTTGTGAGAAACATGTTTGAGAATTCTGTGGTTTATATTTGTGAGCCCTGCCAATACATTTTGCAAGAAACTTTCTAAACATATGCTTAGGAAAATATATTTCTGAAATTGATATATTGCAGGGGTTTGCAATAAAGGACTCTCATGCTTAAAGGGTTATAGCTGCAATTACCTTATCCTCACGTCCGTTTATCGGTTATACTCATATAAAACTATGGAACCGATACACACACGTTGTCCCGAGGGATGGACAATAATACTGATTGTACCTACAGCACATCAGGGGCGATTCTCTACTTGGGCACAGTGTGTGAAGCCCATTTCTGGTGCCCCCTGCCGTGATATGCTGGAATAATGCTAAAAGAGGCATAAAAAACATACTCACTCACTCACTCACTCACTCACTCACTCACTCACTCACTCACTCACTCACTCACTCACTCACTCACTCACTCATTACAGCACATCAAGATGAGTTATGGCGTCTTTCATTTCATCCATCAATCACTGTCCACATGATCATTGATTCATTCCAGGCTCTAAAGTGATTATCGAAACAGTACACCAACCATTTCATTACTTCACAGGACCCTCATATTGTCTGCAAGGGCCCCCAAAATTAATCAATAGGGGGCCTTTTTTGTAAGTCAAGGTAAAACCTGAAAACATCGCATCCAGACACATTCTACAGGCATACCAATGAATAAATCTTTAGATGTGTCCAACGTGTCTCTGAAAAGATAGAAGTGGATATATATATTATTTCTCTAAATTTTCAAACAAAAAGACCAAATAGCTGAAATATTCATCAAATTCTGACACAGACTGATGTGTCTGTTATGAAATAACAACACTCTTGGAAAATCAACAAACAAGCGCTCAGAAAGCTATGTATTTTACTGTTAATTGGTGTGCAAGTTTGACAAGTAGACTATGCATTTCTATCTCTTTTGAGACTGTTTAATCTCCCTACAGGGTTAGTAGTGTGTGGCTCTGCTGAGGAGTGGGAGAAGAACATGTCTGTGGAACAGTTCAGAACTTACGTGAAGAACATCAAGAACAATGATGTGGTACGTAAAGGCGAGGTGGGTATGGGATGAACGTGTGAGCGAATGTTCTTAAAGCAATATTAAACCTATTGTCATAGCAGCTTGTAAATAATCAAGTCTGTGCAAGATAAATTGTGCTTGATAAATATGCAGTAAATAACAGTCCATCAGTAATGATCAGGGTACCACATTTAAGCCACTGGATCCAAATTTTAGTCAGAAAGTAAACTGAAAATATAATTGTTATTTTGTTGTGCATATCAGTTTCCTAGATGAGAGAAAAAATCACAATATTCATAGAAAATATGTAAATGTCCAAGGGAGGGTGCTGAAATTTGGATTTTGCCTGTCATTATTAAACAAATCCAATTTGTGAAGGAAATAATGTATTTTTCCAAATTGCCTGCCAAGCACACTTAGTTTAGATACCTAAATAATTCCTTGATAGGATTGCTCCTAATAGGTATATCCAGGTAAACCTTGGATTATTTGTAGACCATGCATGTCAAAGTATACAACTTAGTCAAATTGTTATAGAGGAGGTACCTGTATGCATCCAAAGGATTAATTAAATATAATCCATTGTCAATACTTTATGGGTGTATACGCTGTTTCTCCATCATCTGTGAATAAAGATGCCTTTGCGGTATAGTTTCCATTTTTATCCAACAAATCCACAAGAGGTATACCAGTAAGTCCTCAGGCCAGTGATTTCTCAGATTACTGCGCACAAATGACAATATTTCTCAGCCATTGCCTTAGCCTTGTAGACATCTAGTGTGCACGTTATACCAATATGGAGTAAAACGGGGGGATACAGCAAACAGTAGAACTCCAATACCATTGAATATTTCTAGGTGAAACTTGCTGTACAGATCAGTCTAGTGGTGAACTGGTGCCTTTTGTTGATTTGGGATATTTGTTATTTTGTTGATATGTGATATTGAAAAATATTGAACAGTATTATTTTTTGTCTTTATTGAACTGGAGGTATCCAATGGCAATGAACCAAAAGTGGGGTATAAGTGGCCTAACTCCATTTCCGAATTGTACCAGACTGGGTAGGGGGGATATATCTTCTGATGACTCTTGTTTAATATCGGGTTGCACTTGTGCATCTATTATTTGGTTAAATCAAGCCCTGAAGACTGATTGAAATTCAGAAATTAGTAACTGATTCCTGTGAAGGGGAAAGAGAAACTAATCATGACCAGCTTCCTTTATATAATGTGTCTGTTGTCCATGAGGTGTGATCATAGCAACATCCAACAAAATGTCCGACGACTTCAAAGTTGTCAAAACTGTGCAGAGGAAGTCTTAGTTATTTTTATTTTGAAACAAATTACGCATTCAATATATCATAGTTCTTATCACAATGGAGTAAAGTCTGGCCAATACACATCACCACGGAATAGTGCTCTTTATATGACTTCATTTCTTTATATTCCCCGCCACAAAGTGGGATGGGGGATATAGTAACGGCGTTACTTAAAGCCAAAAGGGGCCTTTTGTATGTATTAATTTCACATTTAATCATTTTTTCGTATGACATTAAGTGACCCTAGTTCCTATCTCTTCTTAAGGCTTTATAGGACTCTTTCTTTAAAGTTTATATCCAAACAAATTTCTAATGTGGCAGGGCAGGGGATAATGATACGCTGTTATCTTGTTTGACATTAAATAGACTTCTTTACACCTCATATCATGCACATATTGTAGTGTCTACTAACCCGTGAACACGTCGCTATATAAGTGCAATAATCTTGGACGCGACGTTCAACCCCATATCACCTCACCTCACTAACCCGTGAAGTGTTGATTACATGGACAGAGGCTGTTGTTATGCTTCTAGGAAATAACTTGTAAATGGACAAAGCAAGGAGATGTTTCCTAACCCTTATTTTTGTTCCTGAATGTCATATGTTTCAGTATCTGGTTTATGTTTTGATGGCAGGAGCTGACATCATCCTTGGTTGTTTTACAAGGATTTCTGTAATGTTTCTTGTGACCTTTTCAGAATATTGAGGAGTTGGTGAAGTCCTGCCTGGATCACATTGTGTTGAATCCACACTGGAACATTAGGTATGTACACCTGGTGACTTTACTCACAGTATCAACCCGTGAAGATCCGGGGTAGAACAGGTCTTCAACAACCCATGCTTGCCGTAAAAAGCGACTATGTTTGTAGTAAGATGTGACTAATGGAATCGGGTGGCCAGGCTCAGTGACTTTGTTGATGCATGTCATCGTATCCCAATTGCGTGGATTGATGCTCATGATGTCACTCACTGGGTTGTCTTGTCCATACTTGATTTTTTACAGAACATGTCATATGCATATAGCTTGAATATTGCTAAGAGCGGCGTTAAACAACATCAAACAAACAAACAAAATTTACAGTATCATCATAAGACTCTGTGTGCCAGCTTTGGACTGGGAAATAGGACCTGGAAATTTCAGATGCTGTGACCGGCATGAATACCGTTGAACTCAGACTCATGGTTGATTTGAGGATCTTGATTTAACTTGCACCAGTGGCATGTTGACATATAAACCTAGTTGCACAAGAAAAAAACAGGTTGCACGCTGATCCTATGAATACATCATTGTTGAAATGTGCACAAATTCTTGAACTTCCCACAGTCTGATGACATCAAGCCACAAGAAGAATGACAAATGACACATAGCACAGATCATAACAGGACCATACAGATTATTTATGTTGTTTGGTAAATAAAGCTTAGAGGTGTGGATATGTAACGGTAAGACACAAATTTGAAAGACATACATCAATAATAGGTCAATAATAGGTTCTTCTGGTGCATTTTCTATATAGATATATCGAGCCCTGTCGAACACAACACAACATTCTAATAACCAGGAAGTCTTTTATTTCAAGGAAGGAAACAGTGAAAAAGCTATTTGATTGTTTCTGTGTTACAGAGCAGTGGACAAGGAAGGAGAAGACACCAGGACACGACAGTACATCAAGCACTTGGAATCAAATGTTGCCTCCATGGCGCTCCTATGTCGCCTTCAGAGGTCCTTCTACCGGGTCACAGGGGCTCTCACCATCTTAATCATTGGTCAGTGTTGTCATCCCAAGATAATAGCCAAGGAAACAAGAAAGTTAATGTTGTTATTTTGAGTGTCCTAATGCTTCCTACTTTGTTGCATGTATATTATGGACTCGTGAAGATCCGGGGTAGAATAGGTCTTCAGTAACCCACGCTTGCCGTGAAAGGCGACGGTGCTTGTGGTAAGAGGCGACTAACGGGATCGGGTGGTCAGGCTCACTGACTTAGCTGATGCATGTCCTCATATCCCAATTGCGATGATTGATGCTCATGATATCAATCACTGGATTGTCTGGTCCAGACGCGATTATTTTCAGACAGCCGTCATATAGCTGGAATATTGCAGAGAGCGGCGTTAAACAACCAACAAACAAACAAAGCATTATCTCATGACCTTTACGGTAGTGGAGTCCCTTAGTTACACCACAATCTGTCCCTAAAGAATCTCTAGAAAGAGTCCGACGATGATGTTGCTGCTGGTGTTTGTTGCAGGCTGTGTGCTGGTGTTCATGCTGCTGAAGTACCTCAAGTGGCGGAGTCTGGCGAAGGAGCAGGAACTGAGACATGTGTATGCCATGGTGGATGAGATCATAGGTGAGACAGCTGCCAGTGGCATGCATTTGTACACTCATAATGGCCGCTTGTCTCATGCCTGAGAGAGGAATATTTTTTAATTTTAATTTTTATTACTTTATTACTATCATGTCTATCTGAGTGTGTCTACTTGTTCTGAGGAGTCACTGCAGTTAGTAGGGTGATGGATGCCATGATTGATTGCCAAGATGCCACACAAGAATCCATGGCATTATGGCAATAACATGAAACACAAACATAGTTTCAGTTGGTATAACACTAGTCACAAGTTAATTTATATACTTTCAGTATAACACTAATCTCAAGTTAACATATATAGTTTCAGTTGGTATAACACTAGTCACAAGTTAATGTATATACTCTCAGTATAACACTAATCTCAAGTTAACATATATAGTTTCAGTTGGTATAACACTAGTCACAAGTTAATTTATGCCAATCTCAAGTTAACATATATAGTTTCAGTGTGGTATAACACTAGTCACAAGTTAATTTATATACTTTCAGTATAACACTAATCTCAAGTTAACATATATAGTTTCAGTTGGTATAACACTAGTCACAAGTTAATGTATATACTTTCAGTATAACACTAATCTCAAGTTAACATATATAGTTTCAGTTGGTATAACACTAGTCACAAGTTAATTTATGCCAATCTCAAGTTAACATATATAGTTTCAGTGTGGTATAACACTAGTCACAAGTTAATTTATAAAGTTTCAGTTGGTATACACAGATACATGGTAACCAATTTCAGTTGGTATAAGACCAATCTCAAGTTTAGATGATTGGTTTCAGTTGGTTTAACCCTGATCACAAGTTAACATATATACTTTCAGTTGGTATAACACCAATCACATGTTAACATATATGGTTTCAGTTGGTATAACACCAATCATATGTTAACGTATATACTTTCAGTTGGTATAACACCAATCACATGTCAACGTATATACTTTCAGTTGGTATAACACCAATCACATGTTAACGTATATACTTTCAGTTGGTATAACACCAATCACATGTTAACGTATATACTTTCAGTTGGTATAACACCAATCACATGTCAACGTATATACTTTCAGTTGGTATAACACCAATCACATGTCAACGTATATACTTTCAGTTGGTATAACACCAATCACATGTCAACGTATATACTTTCAGTTGGTATAACACCAATCACATGTCAACGTATATACTTTCAGTTGGTATAACACCAATCACATGTCAACGTATATACTTTCAGTTGGTATAACACCAATCACATGTCAACGTATATACTTTCAGTTGGTATAACACCAATCACATGTTAACGTATTTACTTTCAGTTGGTATAATGCCAATCACATGTTAACGTATATACTTTCAGTTGGTATAACACCAATCACATGTTAACGTATATACTTTCAGTTGGTATAACACCTATTGCATGTTAACGTATATACTTTCAGTTGGTATAACACCAATCACAGGTTAACGTATATGGTTTCAGTTGATAGTATGTACATGATGTAGAGCTCATGTTAGTTCAATCAATTGAATAAAATTTCAAAATACTAATAATCATCAATTCATTACAATCCTAAATAAGCATTATCACTCTATTATAGCTACCTGTCAACTAAAATGAGTACAGTGTTATACACTTTGTTTATCAATACAGATGGTCACTCATGCTGTCAGACACTAGTTAGTCAGAATTGGATGATTATTTACAGGTATTGTGATATGATTGGAATATTCTTGACTGCAGTGTAAAAACAACATTCAGCCACTAGTTAGTCAGAATTGGATGATTATTTGCAGGTATTGTGATATGATTGGAATATTCTTGACTGCAGTGTAAAAACAACATTCTCTCTTCCCACAGATATTCTCAAAAGACACCATGATGTGACACAAGGGGAGAACGGGAGTCACAATCAGTTTCTGGCCGTGCAGCACGTGCGAGACCAGTTGCTGCCTCCGTCTCGGAGGTAAGAGGATGTCAAGTGCTTTAAACACTCACTTATCTCTTTTTAAGATCGGGGCGGTCGGGTAGCCTAGTGGTTAAAAGCGTTCGCTCATCACGCCGAAGACCCGGGTTCGATTCCCGACATGGGTACAATATGTGAAGCCCATTTCTGGTGTCCCCCGCCGTGATATTGCTGTGATATTGCTGGAATATTGCTGGAATATTGCTAAAAGCGGCGTAAAACCATAGTCACTCACTCACTCACTCACTCACTCACTCACTCACTCACTCACTCACTCTTGTGTCCTCCGCCGTGATATTGCTGGAATATTGAAACCGTACACATTCACTCACTCACTCACTATGATACACAGTGTTTGTTTGCCGATGTGCCGTTAATGCACATACAAGATGTATTTAACATATATGATGAATGTGGAAACTTGTTTACTTGATCTGGAAATGTTAGATGGTGATGGTTATTATTAATATCACCGGGTATTATGCTGATGATTGTAAAGATGTAAGTGGTGTTGGCTACAGGAAGGAGCTGCAGCCTGTCTGGGATAAGGCGGTCCTGTTCATTGAGAAGAATGAATCTCGCATCCGTCTAGAAGAACAAACCATTGAGGGAGAGGAGTTCCGAGTCTGGAGATGGATACATGTAGGTTGCGGGGAAAGGCTGTTAGCCCAAATAAGAACATATTGCGAATTTGAAAATAAGCTATTCCATCACAAATAAACCTACTAGCACTGATGATACCTTTAACATTAAGTTACAGTAAACTATGTTTATTACGAACACGCTTATAAGAAACTGATGGATATAACAAATTGTTTCAGCCATTTGCTGTATATATGCTGTATATATGCTTATAACGAACAAGGGTTATAACAAACTAAAATTAGTGGTCCCTTTGAGTTCGTTATAACCGTAGTTTACTGTAATTTGTATTCCTAGCTCTAGGTATTGTTTGTCTAGGGTAACAGTTTTAAGAGATATTTTAACATAAAAAGACCAAGCGTAAATACATTTAGATATTTGGCCCATGTGCATTCAGCATTTTTAGTGGCTTTTATGCCACGTAAGATTGCATACTTTAATGTATGGTTTTGAAAAACCTGTGTCCCTCAACCAACCAATACTAAACTAAAACTAGACCAGAAAATTAAAACGAAAGCCTGATATTTTTTTCTCATCTTCAGAATTCTCCAAATGGCGGCAAAGTTTGGCAAGGTCAAGGTAGGTCAAGAGTAAATCCTAAGAAAATGTTCAACATGATATCCAGATGTTTTTGATCTGTGTTTTTGTAATCATGGTAATGTTACCTTGGTTACCAGATAAAATGAGTACAGTAGTGCTTAGTTCATCTATGTTGTTGTGCAATGGAGGGCATTATTATCGTTGTCAATATTTTAATACTGTTATAAACAAGATAACCCCACATTTGTAAACACTTCGGTTAGTTGTGAAATGGTTTTGTTCCCAGCCTTTGGTGAACACAATGACGACAGCTCCAACACTGTGATGTATTGTCCAACGCCATGTCTGAAGATCCGCAACATGTTTGATGCCGACGTGTAAGTCTTATAAATGTTAATTACAGTTTTTTCCCTGTTATCCTGTTCTCTGAAATTGCCGGACTGAGCAAGCTGAACTTGGGTTTGCATGTTCCTCCTGATGACATAATTTTTTGATCAAATCATTATGATTTTACTGAGGTTTTTTTTTTGAACAATTGGAAAAATTGTATGACTTTAGAAAAGGTATTCAACTTTGAAGGTTAATGGGGCTCACTGTTGAACGTTTGTGCAAAGTAAAATAGTACATTCTAGGGCTGGGACGAGTCAAGATTTACTTGCCGGGAACCCATCCCCCTATTTACCCTACCCTACCCAGGTACCTGCTGTAAGTCTCAAGAGATAGGTATAAAATGTACCATTAGGACTAGTTCGACCGTAGCCCAAGCAAAATGCACTTAGATACAGATATAGAACGATCTGGTCATGCATACACTTCAGTTGACTGAAGTTTTATCTTTATTCAAACATATGAAAGTCAGAAGGAATGGGTGCATAGTCAGAAAGAAATGCAAACATTAGAGACTTGTAGTGTAGCCATGAAGTTCTAGATAACTTTTGTCATTAAACAATATAGCACGTGACTAACCATGGGTCCAGGTAGTCCTGTGGGTACCCGGGTTCTACTCTGTACCAACCCGACCCGAGTACCCAAGTTACCCGTCCCAGCCCTAGTACATTCATTCTTGCAGATTTAGGAACATTGTGGATAGATATCTACACAATGATGAATGTGACCCTTTAGTTTATATGATGTAGGGGGCACGGGTGGCCCAATCGTCTTAGGTGCCGCGATTCGCTGTGCAGAGTTTTGTCCCGTGGGTTCGAATCCCGGTTCAGCCAAATTATTTTTCTAGGTTTGTCAGCACCATACGCATGCTCGTGGGTTTTACTGAAGACCTGCATCACTTGGGGCTTTCCTCCCACATTAAGCTGACACGCCGTAATAAACTGGAATACTGTTAAAAGCGGTGTTAAATCCAACTCACTCACTCACTTATATGATGTAAGGTTTAGGACATGCTTTTATCACCCAAGACTGGCTTCCACGGGACGTATATCCTAGGAGATATCGTTTCAATTAATTGTATCGCAATGCTTTGCAGACCATTGTGACATCAGTTACTGTGACATCTCTTAGCCACTGAAGCTGATTAGCTCGACTTTTTACACGCAAGACACTGGTTGTTTTTGGAGGATAAATATACTACTCAAAAGAAGTTAAGGATCACCTGATTCTTTCATATTACAATAGTTAATCTCTCATGCCATGACAGATTAACATTACCAATATGAAAGAATCGGGTGATCCTTAACTTCTTTTGGGTAGTATATAATCTCACTCCATCATCCTCATGGCTATTGATATCAAGCATATCGATTCATGTTAATATAATTGATATCAAAAGGCTTTTGGAAGAAATTCTCTCTAACTTATTGATGCTGGTGTTCAGTGAGGGCGAGGATCCTGCATGGGAGGTCAATATTCAGGACGCCCTGCTGGAGAAGTGCAAGAACATTGACAGCATCTTTCACATCTTTGTCGACAAGGAATCAAGGGAGGTAAGTCATTCACCTGCTTTAATTCATTGTTTATTATCGGGCGGTCGGGTAGCCTAGTGGTTAAAGCGTTCGCTCGTCACGCCGAAGACCCGGGTTCGATTCCCGACATGGGTAGAATGTGTGAAGCCCATTTCTGGTGTCCCCCGCCGTGATATTGCTGGAATATTGCTTAAAGCGGCGTAAAATCAAACTCACTCACTCACTCATTGTTTTTTATCATGTTTTATAGACATTAGTTAATTGTAAATGGAACACGTTATATGCCATGGGAAACTTTCCATATCATCTGCACCTACGCCCATATGATTAAATGCAAGCAGAGAAAGAGGGGAAAGATAAACCAATTTTTTCACCCCGGGCTTCAGTTTGTGTTTGTTCTGGAGTAAGTTGGCTTCTCAAAATCATGCACAGGGTATTTACGCACATGGTGTCATGCACAGGGTATTCACGCACACGGTATCATGCACAGGGTATTTACGCACACGGTATCATGCACAGGGTATTCACGCACACGGTATCATGCACAGGGTATTCACGCACACATTATCATGCACAGGGTATTCACGCACACAGTATCATGCACAGGGTATTTACGCACATGGTATCATGCACAGGGTATTTACGCACACGGTATCATGCACAGGGTATTCACGCACACATTATCATGCACAGGGTATTTACGCACACATTATCATGCACAGGGTATTTACGAACACATTATCATGCACAGGGTATTCACGCACACATTGTCATGCACAGGGTATTCACGCACACATTATCATGCACAGGGTATTCACGCACACATCATGCACAGGGTATTTACGCACACGTTATCATGCACAGGGTATTCACGCACACATTATCATGCACAGGGTATTCACGCACACATTATCATGCACAGGGTATTCACGCACATTATGCACAGGGTTTTTACGCACACATTATCATGTACAGGGTATTAACGCACATGGGATCATGCACAGGGTATTTACACACACATTATCATGCACAGGGTATTCATGCACACATCATGCACAGGGTATTCATGCACAGGGTATTCACGCACACATTATGCACAGGGTATTTACGCACACATTATCATGTACAGGGTATTTACTCACACATTATCATGCACAGGGTATTTACGCACACGTTATCATGCACAGGGTATTTAGGCACACATTATCATGCACAGGGAATTCATGCACACATTATCATGCACAGGGTATTCACTCACATTATGCACAGGGTATTTACGCACACATTATCATGTACAGGGTATTAACGCACATGGGATCATGCACAGGGTATTTACACACACATTATCATGCACAGGGTATTCACGCACACATTATCATGCACAGGGTATTTACGCACACGTTATCATGCACATGGTATTCATGCACACATCATGCACAGGGTATTCACGCACACATTATCATGCACAGGGTATTCACGCACACATTATGCACAGGGTATTTACGCACACATTATCATGTACAGGGTATTTACCCACACATTATCATGCACAGGGTATTTACGCACACGTTATCATGCACAGGGTATTTACGCACAAATTATCATGCACAGGGATTTCATGACACATTATCATGCACAGGGTATTCACACACATTATCGTGCACAGGTTATTTACGCACACATTATCATGCACAGGGTATTCACGCACACATTATCATGCACAGGTTATTTACGCACACGGTATCATGCACAGGGTATTTACGCACACATTATCATGCACAGGGTATTTACGCACACATTATAATGCACAGGGTATTTACGCACACATTATCATGCACAGGTTATTTACACACACATTATCATGCACAGGTTATTTACGCACACGTTATCATGCACAGGGTATTCACGCACACATCATGCACAGGGTATTCACGCACACATTATCATGCACAGGGTATTCACGCACACGGTATCATGCACAGGGTATTCACGCACATATCATGCACAGGGTATTCTCCCACACATTATCATGCACAGGGTATTCACGCACACATTATCATGCACAGGGTATTCACGCACACATCATGCACAGGGTATTCACGCACACGTTATCATGTAGAGAGTATTCACGCACACGTTATCATGCACAGGGTATTCACGCACACATTATCATGCACAGGGTATTCACGCAAACATTATCATGCACAGGGTCTTCACGCACACGTTATCATGCCCAACGGTCACCAGACAGAGGGCACCTCATGGGGATTCCGGGTTACAACTGGTCCCCAGCAACCTATACTACTGGCCATAAGAGGCAACGTAATGGATCTGGTTGTCAAGGATCTTGTAACTTGGTTGATTGCGTGTGATCGTACCCCAATGGCATGGATCATAGCTCACAATATCAATCACTGAATTGTGTGGTCCAGAGTCGACTATTTACAGTCCGCTGCCATATAGCTGGAATAGTGTAGAGTAAGACATGAAACTACAGGCATGCACGCGCGCCGCGTCTCCATTGTCACAATGCGCCATTAGAGGCTGTTTTCAGTGATGTGTGTGTTGGTATTGCAGGGCTGTGTCTACATGAAGTGTTCCTGTTGTGAGGCTGCTGGCCGGGCAAGACAGGCTCTGCATGGATGGTGGTTTGACCGTAAGCATTCCCTCAGTTAATCACAACCACAGTTTTTGTGTCCCTGGCATAGTGTACAAGACAGTGAGAGCCTGGTTGTCTGGTAGACCCTTCCAGTGACACACATGGCCCTTTTGGGGTTCATGAGTTACAAAGATTCTTCAATGAACTAGTTGGCAATCAGATCTATCTTGTGATCTGATAGTGATGAACAATGTATAACTATTTGGCTATGCCCTGTGGGCTTGCAAGGTTGTCTGTCCAAACCAAGCTTGTTTCTAGGTTACCTTCTCAGCTATGTCCAGTAAGGCCATATATAGTCATGTTGCTGGGTTACCCTCTCAACTAAGGCCTAGTATAGCTATATCTAGTCACGTTGCTAGGTTACCTTCTCAGCTATGTCCAGTAAGGCTATATCTAGTCATGTTGCTAGGTTACCCTCTCAACTTTGTCCAGTAAGGCTATATCTAGTCATGTTGCTAGGTTACCCTCTCAAGGAAGGCCTAGTATAGCTATATCTAGTCCTGTTGCTAAGTTACCCTCTCAACTAAGGCCTAGTATAGCTATATTTAGTCATGTTGCTAGGTTACCTTCTCAACTATGTCCAGTAAGGCTATATCTAGTCATGTTGCTAGGTTACCTTCTCAACTATGTCCAGTAAGGCTATATCTAGTCATGTTACAAGGTTACCTTCTCAACTATGTCCAGTATAGCTATATCTAGTCATGTTGCTAGGTTACCTTCTCAACTATGTCCAATAAGGCTATATCTAGTCATGTTCCTAGGTTACCTTCTCAACTATGTCCAGTATAGCTATATCTAGTCATGTTTCTAGCTTACTTTCTCAACTATGTCCAGTAAGGCTATATCTACTCATGTTGCTTGGTTACCCTCTCAACTAAGGCCTAGTATAGCTATATCTAGTCATAATGCTAGGTTACCTTCTCAACTATGTCCAGTAAGGCTATATCTAGTCATGTTGCTAGGTTACCCTCTCAAGGAAGGCCTAGTATAGCTATATCTAGTCCTGTTGCTAAGTTACTCTCTCAACTAAGGCCTAGTATAGCTATATCTAGTCATGTTGCTAGGTTACCTTCTCAACTATGTCCAGTAAGGCTATATCTAGTCATGTTGCAAGGTTACCTTCTCAACTATGTCCAGTAAGGCTATATCTAGTCATGTTGCAAGGTTACCTTCTCAACTATGTCCAGTAAGGCTATATCTAGTCATGTTGCTAGGTTACCTTCTCAACTAAGGCCTAGTATAGCTATATCTAGTCATGTTGCTAGGTTACCTTCTCAACTATGTCCAGTAAGGCTATATCTACTCATGTTGCTTGGTTACCCTCTCAACTAAGGCTTAGTATAGCTATATCTAGTCATGTTGCTAGATTACCTTCACAGCTGTGTCCAGTATAGCTATATCTAGTCATGTTGCTAGATTACCTTCTCAGCTGTGACCAGTATAGCTATATCTAGTCATGTTGCTAGATTACCTTCTCAGCTGTGTCCAGTATAGCTATATCTAGTCATGTTGCTAGATTACCTTCTCAGCTGTGTCCAGTATAGATATATCTAGTCATGTTGCTAGATTACCTTCACAGCTGTGTCCAGTATAGCTATATCTAGTCATGTTGCTAGACTACCTTCTCACATTTCTTCCTGTTATAACCACATCTCATTGTGTTGGTAGGTCGCCTTGTGACTGTCCGGTACCTGAAGTTGGATTACTACCATAACAGATTTCCAGACTCGGTCAACATGAAGAATCCACTCCTCCCATCAACCAATCAGATGTCCTCACTCTCTCAACCATTTTACAGATCTTCTCTTGAAATGACCTAATAAGGTCATTTTAGTGTCATGTGATCAACTGAAGTGTGCCTTCTGGGTTATTCAATGTGGTTTGGCAGTTGTGATTGGTTGACAGTCCATGTCTTATGTAAACAATTGGCCCAGTAATTTTCACAACATAAATTTATGGCCATTCATGGATCTTTGTGACATAGATGGATGTCTGGTCCAGTCTAAAGATCCGGACATGGTTGCCGGTTGCCAAGCAACCAATGAATCCCCGCCTATACAGGTCAAACACACTGATGTAGTTGTCGGAGGCAGAACATTTATCTATCTCTCCTTGTTACCATGGTTACCGTTAGAACGCACATTGTTTCCAATAAGAACTTTAAGGGGGACTAAGCTCGGGCAAACTAGCAGTCCTCATTTAATTCAAGTCAATTAAACACCATTCTAGTTATATGCTAACCCCAAGTGTATGATGTACATCAAGCTTGCAGTTAATGGGTACTTTAAATGCCCTCACAAGCACTGGTTACTTCGAGACCTAGAACATGGGTCCCAAGCCGTGGAGCATCGTCCCCATCTTAAGCCAAATACCATGATAGCTTAAATTCTGTGGATAGCTTATTTAATAGTGCCCTGGATTCTTACTGTCACAATATGGCTGGAATTGTAACTCACTCACCCTAGATTCTACCATGACAACGTGATTTCTTAGTGATTGTGATGCCGTGATATAACAGGAATACTGTTCCAAGCGGTGTTAAACATGATTTCTTAGTGATTATGACTCCGTGATATAACAGGAATACTGTTCCAAGCGGTGTTAAACATGATTTCTTAGTGATTATGATGCCGTGATATGACAGGAATACTGTTCAAGGCGGTGTTAAACATGATTTCTTAGTGATTATGACGCCGTGATATAACAGGAATACTGTTCCAAGCGGTGTTAAACATGATTTCTTAGTGATTATGACGCCGTTATATGACAGGAATACTGTTCAAGGCGGTGTTAAACATGATTTCTTAGTGATTATGACACCGTGATATGACAGGAATACTGTTCAAGGCGGTGTTGAACCCAACTCACATTCTCACTTTAGTGATTACGTTTCAATCATCATGTCAGGACCTCACTGTAGCTTGTATAATCCTGGAATATTTATCAGAATGTATATGTGAGTTTTTACGTGATTAATGCAAACGTGTATGCGAGGCAAATCGTCATCTGGTGTTGAGCCCTGTTTATTACAGCCATTTTAGGCGGCAACTGTTAAAGACCTGTGTTATAAAAGGATCATAGCTTGAAAACTGCTGGGGGTATGGGTGACCCAGTCATCTAAGGCATCACAATTCGCTGTGCAGAGTTCTGTCCCTTAGGCATGCCAGAAAAATGTGATTGTGGGTTTCGAATCCCGGTTCGTCTTTCTAGGTTTGTCAGCCCATATACCTACTGGTGGGTTTCACCAAAGTCGTAGACGTTTGAGACCTGCCTCTTTAAAGGCTTTTCTCCCACATTAAGCTGACACGCCGTGATGTAACTGGAATACTGTTCAAAGCCAACAGATTAACTTACTAAGATTGATTTCTTAAACAGAGCCTTCATTAACTGGGGTCAGCAGGTTTGTTAATATTGCACTAAGGGAGACAACTCACTTTACTGGGTAAAATTTGGCTGCAGGTGAAAGTGTGCAGGGTCTGAAATACTTCAATGCAATTTGTTTGCTTTGTCAGTAGCTGGTGTGTCAGTGTCTTGAGAGCATTCAAGGGTTCACGAAGAGTTCAAGACCAGTAGGGTTGACAGAAGTCAAGTCTAGTGGGGTTGACCATGAGGCCAGACCAGTGGGGTTGACTGAGAAATTAAGTCTAGTGGGGTTGACAGAGAAGTCAGTCTAGTGGGGTTGACCATGAGGCCAGACCAGTGGGGTTGACCGAGAAGTCAGTCTAGGGGGGTTGACAGAGAAGTCAAGTTAAGTGGGGTTGACCAAGAGGCCAGACTAGGGGGGTTGACCAAGAGGCCAGACCAGTGGGGTTGACTGAGAAATCAAGTCTAGTGGGGTTGACCAAGAGGCCAGACTAGGGGGGTTGACCAAGAGGCCAGACTAGGGGGGTTGACCAAGAGGCCAGACCAGTGGGGTTGACTGAGAAATCAAGTCTAGTGGGGTTGACAGAGAAGTCAGTCTAGTGGGGTTGACCATGAGGCCAGACCAGTGGGGTTGACTGAGAAATCAAGTCTAGTGGGGTTGACCAAGGATCCAAGTCCAGATTGCCCACAGCTGCAGTTATTGTGAAGTTAAAAACAACAAATACTGTTTCCTGAAATACAAGGTTGACAATAAAAACACTTTTCCAGTAATTATTCAACATGTTGAATCATTGGACAGAAAAATCAGATGTAATTGTAATTTCTAATTGAGACAGTAGTGAAATCTGATGAGGAACTGGTGAAGTTACATCAATTCCAAGATAAGCAGACGCCTTCAGTAAAATTGACCTTGAAAGATGAACAGGTTTAATACTTTAGCCTGCCTGGAGTCCCACCATGCAGTATGTCTCAAGGCGTGATACGCATGGCTGGGGCTATGTGAATAGAAGACCCCCTAGCCACCGCAAGACCCAACTCGCGGTTCCAATACTGTTGTGTCCGTCGTAAGACAAGTCTTGAGCAGGTTCCAATACTGTTGTGTCCGTCGTAAGACAAGTCTTGAGCAGGTTCCAATACTGTTGTGTCCATCGTAAAACAAGTCTTGAGCAGGTTCCAATACTGTTGTGTCCGTCGTAAGACAAGTCTTGAGCAGGTTCCAATATTTATTCAGGAATCGTGCACAGCATCTGAGATGGCTGACCCCGGCGAGCACATGTTTTGGTTTGGTTTGTTGTTTTACGCCACACTCAGCAATATTGCAGCTATATGACGGCGGTCTGTAAAATAATCGAGTCTGGACCAGACAATCCAGTGATTGACATCATGAACATCGATCCACGCAATTGGGATCGATGACATGTATCAACCAAGTCAGCGAGCCTGACCACCCGATTCCGTAAGTCGCCTTTTACGACAAGCATAGTCGCCTTTTAGGGCAAGTATAGGTTGCTAAAGACCTATTCTAACCCGGAATCTTCATGGGTAGCTTGAAGTTCCATACACATGACGCAGCTCGCACGTGTAGAGTTACCCAACAGAATATATTTTTCAGATGAATTTACTTTGTTGTTTGTATAATCAGATTGGTTCGAGATTGCAGACTAACGGAAAATCAATCAACTTCTCCCTTACATTCTTACTATATCAATTACATGATAGTTTTAATGACATAAAAATTCAAATTTACAAACAAAGAAAGTAATTCAGCAGGGGTAAGTGTATTTGGCGTCACGACAGTCGTCACTTGTTTGTAAACATAACGGTTATTCGGTTGCGAGTTCAACTCCAAATATGGTTGTGGTCTTCTATCACTGGGAAGATTTGACAGGTGGCAGCGATAGTATAGAGAGCTCTGCAAATGGGATATCACTGTGAGGAGCTTGACTATGTGCCCACATAGCACATATACCACCACTACACTCACCAGAGTCATGATGAGATCCTGACAAATCCAGGGTATAGTCTACTTGTAGCATGGGCAGATTGTGGTGGGTGACAGGGTGAGATCTTCCCTCCTTAGGCCATACGGATTCTTGCCGCTTCAGCAAAACACATGGTGTGAATCTGGGAAAAACATGGACAGTGGAACTCTAATATAATATTTCCAACTTGACTTGTTTAATAGGCATTTCTTAGAAGTTGACGGGTGACCAAGTAGACACAATTTATGGATAACAGCATCTATTTACGACTTCAGTAAATAAAGAAGTTGTCATAAATTGTGTTTAATTTGTTATTTCCAACTTGCTACAAGATCCTGGCATGACCTAGATTTATCAGTATTTGCCCCAAAGTTGGTCAGATGTGTCCATTGACGCGTTAATTAATGTGGTTTTCTAGCATCCCAACAGAAAACTACCGGTATGATGAATTGGCAAAACATCCCTTGCATCAGCTCTTGCTGGGTTTTACCGAGTACCATGTAGTAGGGCTGGGACGGGTAACTTGGGTACCGGGGTCGGGTGGGTACTGAGTAGGACCCATAGTTAGTCACGTGATATATTGTTTATTGACAAAAATTATCTAGAACTCTATGGTTACTCTAAAAGTCACTAATGTTCGCATTTCTTTCTGACTATCCACCCATTCCTTCTGATTTTTCATATGGTTGAATAAAGATATAACTTAATTCAACTTCAGTGTATGAATGACCAGGTTGTTTAGTACATGTTTCCAAATAAGTTTTTCCAAGGCTATTCTCAAAATGTTCCCAATCGGACATTTTGAGAAATCACCTGATACCTACAGTGGGTACCCGGGTAGGGTCGGTAATAGGGGGTTAGGTCCCCGGTTAGTAAATTTGGACTCGTCCCTGCCCTACCAAGTAGTACGTCCTATATGCATAAAACTTATGAATGGTAACTGTGAGTCCCCCTATCAACGCAAAACTGTATCAATATTGAAGTGAAACTACCGGTATATACGTGTTCTCAATGCAAATACAGTGTTCCCCCAGTCGGTTAGAGTTTTGTTTCAAATAAGGAAATTCCCATCTTACTTAAGCATAAGGCATCACACATACTTTGTATTTACCGTAACTGTGTTGGGTAAAGTGATCAACCTGGAACCCTCCCATTTAATGGCAAGGACCCCAAAATATAGTACCAAGAGTGCCCAGAACAGCAAATGTTCTATTCAAAAGAGCTTACAAAACATTTTTATTTTCAAATGACTATACTTAATCAGCGATGGCATCACAGATTAACTGTAGTCATGTGATAATATCTGATGTTCTATAACTTGTTTTGACTAGTATATGCTGTAGTATATAAACCCTGCATAGTGTTGAGGGTGACGGCTAGACTTGACTGGAGTATTGGTCATGATATACAGGCTCCTCTGGGCAACTGACCGACAGATGAACTCTTGTGACTGCTGTGTGAGCCCTGGTCATCTCTGGTGATGCTAGAAACAGAAATCCCCACTGGTCCTGAACTCAACCTTACACTACTGGCATTGGGACATTCTAGGACATTCTTGATTTTTTTCTCAGTTTGTAATGGGATATTGTATACAAGTATGAGTTTGGAAAGCAGTGTTCAGGACTTTTGGAATAACAATTGGTCCTGGAATGTCGAATTTGAACCAATCAGAAATCCAGCACAACAAATTTTGATATCCAGTGGTTTTCAAGTTGACACTGTTTTTCTGGAGTGAAACCTTGGTAACTTGAAGTCAAGATGACATTTACCAGATTCTGAGACAACCCGGTTTTACTGTACTTCTGTTTTGAGACAAGAAATGAGTTAGAAGTGGCACTGTAGTTACTTTTTCAATACCAAATAAATTCTGACCTGTTTCATTAGTTGGAGGATATCTGTTTATTTCTTAACCTGAGCTGCTTGTTTTTAAATCGTACTTAGGTGTACTTGTACAATATAGGTTCTTTCTTTTTCATGTTTGATAACAATTGTGCCATAAGAGAAAAATCAGATTTGCTTGATATATTCATATGTAGCTATCTTCTTTTCACCATACCAGCCCTGATAGTGGATTGTCATCAAATGTTTCCTTTGTTACCTGTGAAGGAGCAGCTGGTCTAGCAGATGATCCTTGTTAATCATGTTTATTTTTATAAAGTAATTATGATGTTGAACTGCTCAAGGAGTGTAGTGGTACCAAAGGTATACAAGTGCTTAACAAACAATACAAATCTATAGTCTATGCGATGTATATTATATTTTGTTCCTGAAGTTTATTTCCTCACAATTTGAAAGAGTTGCCTTGGTGACAAGGTAAGGCTACTTATGGGTGGATGGTGAACACATCTTGGTGCATGAACTGACCTGAGGATCAGACTATCACCACTCTCTGTCTTCATACACAGACTGGGGGGCACGGGTGGCCAAGCTGTCTAAGGCGCCGCGATTCGCTGTGCAGACTTGCGTCCCTTGGGCACGCCAGAAACCTATGATTGCTGGTTCAAATCCCGGTTCGCCCCAATTATGTTTCTAGGTTTGTCAGCACCGTACCCTTCTCATGGGTTTCACCGAAGTGGTAATCGTCTGAGGCCTGCATCACTTCGGGCTTTCCTCCCACATTAAGCTGACACGCCGTGATATGACTGGAATACTGTTAAAAGCGGCGTTAAACCCAACTCACTCACTCACTCACTCACTCACTCACTCACTCACTCACTCACTCATACACAGACTATGTGGATCAGAATATCAATCAGACTCAATTACTCACCAACTGCTGTGATATAGCTGGAATATTGCTGAATGTGGCATAAAAACAACATTCACTTATTGGTCCTCCCCTGAGCACCTATGTGGTGTCAAATACCTGTAATTTGCTGCCAAGCAGATTTGACTCCGTAACAAATAGGATACAAGCCAGTTCTAACCCAGAGGCCCCCATGAGTGGGATTATACACAGATTCCCCTGTAGAAACACATTTATTTTCCAGGATTTTCTAGAGTATTGCGGAGAACGCTTCCATTTCATACTTATTCCGATAAGTTTTTGATAACAAAATCTTATCCAGAAAGAAACTGAAAATTATTATTTTTGCATCATGTCAAGAACACATTTAATGTGGAATTCTACAAATGTTGTAAATAATTTGCTGTAGTGCGGAACCTTCCACCCTAAAGTGGTGTTGTAGCATTACACTCCTTGATGCAGACCTGTTTAGACCACACTTTGTTTTCTTGTTTTCAGAGTTCATTGGCAAACAGTAGGATAAAAAACTTACAAATATCACTCTTGGTTTAAGATATATTTTCTTTATAATTGTACCCACTTGAAATAAAAGTTATAAATAAAATTATGTTGAAATGTATAATTGAAAAGGAATTTAAATAATTAAGGTTTGCAAAACTTAGGGCAGAGTCATCTGAAAACAAGAAAAACTTGTCTGGCCTTAGTTAGAATAAACTGTTATCTTTTATAAGATCTCCGACCTGTGGTTCAAACTCAGTATAGGGCATATTGTTTGACATGGATGGATGTACAGACTCGTCTGGAATAGATTTGGATGACACATACCTTGAATCAAATATTTCTTTCAGCTTTACTGTTGTTAGTTATTTTATTTTGTATTGTACACTTCATGTCGATCATGCTTCATTCGACAGCAGTACTGTAGCAGATTGTGTTAGTATTGATTACCCAGGCGGATCCAGAGGGGGATGAAAGTAATATTCCTAACTGGAGAAGATCATAAAAAAACATTTTATAATAAAATATAAAGTGCTTTTGCATGTTGTCTTTCGGGGGAGGGTCATCAAAAATTTTACAATGACCAGGGCTGTCATCCAAAATTATGACAAGCATTAGGGGAGTGTTGTTATTTTCAGTACATCGGTGCATCAAAAACCTCTGAACACTGACCGTTATAACCAAAAGACATTGGTTTGCCATTCCACGTTAGGTTATGTGTCATTATATATCGTATTCGATGTAATAAGCGCCCTGCTCTAATAAGCGCCCACGGCGATATTTACTAATATATTCGCTAGTGAACAATACCAATTAGCACCCCTTCCGACTGATCAATGTACACAACACTTATTTATTCGTGTATGATACGCACTCGGGTGTTATATACAACCTTAATTATGGGCAATTAAATTCTCGAAAATATATCTATTGTGTATAATACGCACAGATTCTTCTTTTATATCATTTCAGGCTGTCAGCATAAACCACAAAATTTACAATCTTTCAACTCTGTTTTTTATCTCACCAAAATTATATTCTAATGAGAGCCCTCTATTTCTAAGTTTGAGAGCGCCCTTGGCGCTTATTACGTCGAATACGGTAACTGAAATATTGTTCAAAGCAGAGTTGAACCCAACTCCCTGAATCAGTTTTGGTTTTGTTTGACA